GAAAAAAAAAAGGGGGGGGGGGGGAGAGAAGAAACAAAACTTGTATTTATTTCTGCTGACAGTTTAAGTCGGGTGATAAAAATCTGTAGATAAGTTGCTGTACAATTGTTAGCTACACTCGCAGCTTATCAGCCTTGATCAATAAATGACGTGAACTTCTGTTCAGGCATGTCAATTTGTTTATTATAAAAAAAAATTAAAAACCCAGCAGTTCAACATATTACTAAGTCCTTCTGGTCATCAAATAATAATTCTAATATACCAAGTGGTATGTTATCTAAATGATTTATTATGTATAAAAAATTGTGTTTATTTTTATTTTTTAAAAAAAAAAAGCATTTTCCAATCACACAAACATGAATTATCAGCAAAACACATCTTTGGGCATGTTAATGTTATAAAGACTTTAGACAATATATGTAATTTTTGAGTGCAATAAGTTAAAACTATAAATTTTCAAACAAAATAATGTGGGTTGATAATGTTGCATTTAGAGATCTTTACGATGAAAATCAATCAGGTCAGCTGGTCTTTGATTTCGCTCACAAAGGAAAACACAAGATGAGAGGAAGCGCTTGTCCCTCGTGTGCAACACCATGGCCTGGCCGGCTAGTCGTCTTGAAGAAGACCAGCAGCCAGTGGGAAATAATTAGCTTATTTCGTATATAAATTTTCTGCTTATCGCTAGACATAATGGACTTCAGACTCATGTCTCATTTTATATGCAAAATTCATTGAAATTATTATCAGAAGGAACATTGAATATGATGTTCAAGTAAATTAAAAGTACATAAAATACTAGCATTCTAGTCCCTAAAATTCATGTAGTCATCTTCAATGATTAATTATGAGCGAAGTTTCTCTACAGTAGCCAGTAGAACGTCAAGTGCACGTCTGGCCCATTCTTTGATGTCCAACAATCGCTTGACCGCTGCTCGAGGATCTTTGACGGACCCCATTTCGAAAATGGAATCGATGAAACTGCAGTAGTCGCCAATGTCGTTGGCCAGTTTGAGAGCCCTTCGCCTCTCTATGCCGACCGGCGTGTCTTGGATGAGGACGAATGTGAACTCTGAGACCCGATGCAAGGCCAGTTTGAATTCGTGGTAGTCGTGCAGAAGTCTGATCACGTGAGGCGCCACTGATACCGTGAGTAAATCTCCATCACTGAGGTCAAGGATCGATTTGTCAGCTCCAGAATGAGAAAGTAGCTGAAATTGATGAAATTATAACATTTATAAAATATTAAAGTTGGGATGAGCTTATATGTAATAAGTCAACCTAATAGTCTTAAGCCGTCCATGCAAACTTTCTCGGGAAGCCGTTTTGATGCATACCGAGGTGTCATGTAGGCTCTAACATCTCTTAACCGAATTTCGATATGATGGAGAAGCATCGATACTATATAATAAATTTTTAGTACATTTTACAATAAAATAAATCAAGCCTTTGAACACTATTAAATAGAAGACCTCTGTAGGAATATGCCAGGAACAATTCAATAATTTATGACACATTAAAAAAACAACAACAAAAAAACTTTTTAAATAATATGAGTTATGATTAGTTTGAATCATCTTTAAGGTAAAAAGTTCACATAAAAAAAAAATGATTTAACATTTACCTCTCTTTTCAAGGCCAAATCTTTGAAGGCCACGCGATCGATGTTTGCAGCCAGGTCCTTAAAGTGCCTCTTTGAATTGAATCTGCCTGAATTCAGTCTCTGCTTCATGGCCTTCTGGTACATTGTCGCCTTCTGACGGGGTTTACTGCCAGTTTCAGACGGCACGGGTGAGAACAGGCGGTTGTTAATAGTGACATGCCTCACGAGCAATCGGCGACTCAGCCTCATCAGGCGCTTTGGGTCAGCATGACATGATCCGTGGTCGTGGACAGTCATGGATGTCATGCAATTCCAGCAGAATGTGAAACCGCATTTGCACACCATGTGGTTGCAGCCACCATCTTTTTCCACAAATTTTTCACATCCGGGGCAAAGGCGACCTTCGACTATGACAAAACTATTTTGTTCTTGTTTAGCCAGGGACAGTTTATTTTCAGTTTCCTCGTGAGCCGTTTCGGTGGGAGGGGCTAACGTTGCAAGTCTTTGAATGTAATTTTCGGCCTGGTCACATTTGGCTGGCCAGTGAGGAGGGGACAGACAGGAAAAGCACACAGTGGTCCCACACTGGCACATCACATCGAGGGCCATTCCTTTGGGGGTTTCCTCAGAAATAACTTTGATGATTCTTCCACATTTCGGGTTGGGGCACCATTTGGCATTTGGAGAGCCTTCGAGCTCCTCCTCCATTTCGCGTTGGATGATTTGATTGACTTCTTCCACGTGGATTAGTGTCATCAGTGTTACCGGCCCGATCTCAGAGTCACACTGATACCCGGGACACTTCATCTTTAAGTGTCCATTGTTTATTTTAGTGCGAACGTGAATCTGCATGCAGTTATCGCAAAAGTTGTGCCCGCATTGATTGAGCCCCAGTCCAGAAACAGACCCGTGGTGAGAAACATTTACATCCTCATAACAAATCTCACAAAATAAATCTTGGTCTAAATCGTTTGTAAGTAACTCGTATTGCTCATCAGAGGAACATAGTTTTTCTTCTAGCTTCAACCTATGCATTCGCTCACATGTAGACAATGCCTCAACGGACACCTTCATGCGCTCTTGTATGAAATTTATACCTGAGCTCTTCTTCTCATAGGAAACTTTGACACTTGGAAGATTGAGTTGATTTTCTTGTTTCATGTCCAGCAAAATAGAGATTACAGTTTTCAAAATCTCTCCAATCGATGAGCGCTGGAACTGGATAGCCTCTGATATTCGCTTTGTGCTATGGCAAATTTGAGAGTTGAATGTCACTTTGAATGTGTCGAGACCGTCATCGTAAAACCCGTCGTACAAGAACACCAGGTATGAAGCGGAGTCGGTCTTTGTATTGAGGGTAGGGGCTGAGATCATGTCCACCACGTCTTCAGTCACGTTAATGACAAAACGCCTAGGCGTACACGCGGCCTCACTGTATCTATGGCCGAATTTCTCCTTTAGATTTTCTGGCGAAGTCTCCACAGTTGTTAAAATAGTTCTTGACTTGTATAGAATAAAACTTGGACTTTTTCTAGTAGCCGCCGGTGCCTGTTTTCGTTTGACGTCATCTCTTGGGTTTTTCTCGTTTGTGTACACGATGTGAGATTTGGAATCAAAGTCACGAGTTGTGGTACTTCGTCGAGAGGGTTTTCTCTCGTGGTTTACCTTGGACGTCCCGAAAATAGATTTAGCTTTTAAAGCTTCGGCTACCAAAAACGACAGAATGTCTTCAGAACGACCGCCATTTGCTGAATCTATACCGGGTGGCTCCACCCATTGAAATTCAGACCCACTCTCATGATCTTGAGCACCGACCTGCTCCGTCACCGCCAAGTCTGGCTCGTCTGCAGCGTACCAAAAGTCTCCATCTTCATCCTCTGCTAAATCATCTTGGAACTCTTGCACATCTTTGTTAGTTAGCCGTTTTCGGTGCTTTCTTTTCTTCTTTGATTTATTTGTATTCGATCTTATTTCCATCTTTCCCTCTTCATTCATCTCCATGACAACGTCTGTGTATTTGGGGTTAAAGGTCAGCGAACAACTTTGAGGACACGGGTAAAAGACTTCTAGTCTGTACTCTGGCTTGGAGCTGTGCACGATGCCGTTTTCCACACCATCGATAGTGAAAACATTGACCGTCTTTGCGGCAACCTGCTTCACCTTCTTATCTACGGTGACTGTCGCCATCGCTTTCTTCAATGCCTCAACTCTCTCCCGCCTAAGGAATCTCTTTGATTGTTCCTCTCCCAACCTGTTTAGGTTAAAACTGAAATACCTCTTCTGTTTGGGGACCACCTGGGCGTACCTACCCCTGTTGGAGACAAAACTGACGCAGTTGGCCCGTCTCTTCAGCTTGTGTCGCTCGAGGAGGGACACCTGGGCTTCTTTGTGATCGAAACATCCGGTTTTGATCATGTGACCTACGGTGGCCGGGATACGCCATCTTTGTTTTTTGTTCAGCGACAGAATGACATTCGTTGAACCCAGCGCCTCTTGGATCATGTTGTCATCCGTGCTGTGTTCTAGAAGTTTATTGACGTCATTTTTTCCTAGACTTGACCGCCCAATCACACAGCCTTGACGGGCATACCTGAGGAGAAAATCGGGAAATGCTTTTATTTTACGATACTAGGTCCAACGAATCAAGACTTTGAATCAGGAGACGATTCTTGCTTAAGTCCTCTACAAATCAAATACAGTGATGAATACTGAAGTTAAATTACATCGTGATTGTTAGTGCTGCATGTTTATAACTATTCTTTCTTTTGTTATAGACATTCTTTACTTTTAAACAACGAGCTGAAGGTTCAAGTTATCAAAAGGTCATCAGCAAACAAACTAAATAATGATAGACTAAAATGCTGAACAAATTTCGGTTTCTTTCACCCACTTTTGCTGAATTAAAACATAATGCGCGTAATTGATGCAATAATTTACTAAAATACATTAAAACAGCTAAAAAGTCAATGTGTGAATAAATGAAGGCATATTTTGCTATTATTCGTGGTTGATTTGTTCGACTTCATGCCTGGACTAGATTATTTCGTTTTATATTTTTGAACAACAAATGTTATGTATAAGTGGAAATGTTGATTAAAAAAAGAACAGGGATATTTTATCCCACTAAGAAGCCTAATGTTAAGTTTCTTACCTTTTAGATTGAAGAGTGCGAAGACCTCGGAGGGTGTTTCCTGACCTCACACCACCTTTGCATACTTTGTACACCATTTTTGAAAACCACACAATACTTAACTCTACTTTTCTGCTGCTACTAGTACTAAAAGTATAACAAAGACACGAACTAGCGATTTAGAATCGCTCTCGGTGATAACACAAACGACGCGACGGTCTTTATATATATATTTGATCGTCTGTATCTGCTTGCAAGCGATGGTGTAACCCTCTGACGTACAGGTTAGCGCATTCTAAAAAAAGACATGACCCATTTTAGGATGGAAAAACTATTGGCTGCTATGATTAGAAGGATTGCATTGGGGCATTCCATGGTCTTGTTTTTTTCAGGTCGCAAATCGATCAATCAGAACTAGGCCAACGATTTTTTTGTTCTTCTGGGACCTCGTGAATAAGTTTTTTTTCTTATGTGAGTTAAAATTTTTATAATCAGTGCATACATGTTTTAATTTTTTTTTAAAATAGGAATACCATAAAAATAACATATTGTTTTCACAATTTTATATTGTAACAAAATGTATGGCTTATAGTGTATTCAAAGTCTCAAAGTGATAAATGCCAAAGCGTCAGATTTATTTGCTATAAGAATTTTTGAATTTCTTAAACGTAATAAGATTGGCCATTGTTAGTTGTGTATGTGTCATGGAATGATGTCAGCATGGCCGGGTGTCAGTTTGAGGTAGTGGGATAAGCATGTGAGACAGTACATCATGCCAGTATGCCAGGGAATGCCAGTATGCTAGGGGTGTCATCCATATAGCACGGACCAAAAAAGTCAAATTGTCACACCCTGTTACGCGCGTCACCTTGTGCACACCCTTCCCTGTGCGTATGTCTAATGAGCATTCAACACCCCCACCCCCGCACCACCACCAAAAATATTTACAAAAATCATAGACGCCTTCTGTATGTTCACACCGTCCATATGCCATATGCGGTAAACACAGCCTGAGTCTTGATACAACTGATATCATGATAGTCACGTGGCTTAGCTTCTAACGTTGTTATGTATAACATAATTTTTTTTCTCTCTTAGCCAGATCGAGTAAGAAAATTATTAAATGCACTGAGTTCTTTCAATTACGTTATCCCAGAGCGTGAAAAAATGACATTAAATTTGATAAATTAGTGGACATTCACAAACGTATCCAACCATACAAAAAGTATGTAAACAAAACAGAATACAATTTTCCAAAACTTATTCGAACCCGTTAAGTTACTTTTTGTGTGAAGGGCCTTGTCACGTGGTACATTCGTCTTCTTCTTGACAACGACTGGTGAAAGGATACAACAAAAATGACAAATTCCCGGAGAAATTGAAGCCATTATGAAAATGGACGTGGGGATTAAAGAAGGGGAGAGGGTGTCAATCCGTTAATCCCCACGGGCCAGCCAGGTAGCAGTCAGGTAGCAAAGAACGTGTGCCGGGCAAAGACAGGCGTGATATGTGGGCGTTTCCTTGAGGGGTCAAGAGGGCAGCGGCTGACGGGATCAAAGTTGTAAGGTTGACCAGGTCGTGTAGGGCCGGGTTAAATTGGACATTTGTCGCCTGGAGGAATCCTTTGACGGACCGCTGACCTCTACCATCCCCTCCCCGCCCCCCCCCCCTAAAAACAACAAGGACACTACCTGCAGGATGCCCCACCCGCTCAAAGTCTCTACCCCCCGCCAACCGGACACTACCCCCAGAGGCCGCCTTCCGCCCAAGGTCATGCACTACCCCCCCCCCCACACACACACTAGGAAGCTACCTCCACCAGGACATTTCCCTTACCCAAGGTAACTACCCCACACTTCAAGGATACTCCTCCTCCCCCCGGACACTAGTCACTACATGATATTGTGTTAATGGGAGCTGGGTTTGTTTGTATTGTCCAGCACTACCGTTTACAAGTCTGAATAGCGAATGTTTGTCTCCACTCTTGGACACAGAACAGCAATCACTGAAAGTTGATGAATAGTCGGCCATTATATTCCAACTTATGTTTCTTTCGCCTCGACTAATGGATTCGTACAAATATGAGTGGAGTCATACTAATTGGAGTCATACTATTTGGAGTCATACTAATTGGAGTCATACTAATTGAAGTCATACTAATAGGAGTCATACTAATTGGAGTCATACTAATTTAGTATTTTTAAAAATAAAGTTACCTGTAACTCCCCTTGCAGAACCATTTATCGTGATTACACGTAACCGAGGGGATCTTTCCTCCGCTTGAATGAAGAAATTATTTTTATTTTTCTCTTGTTGAGATTTTTTTTTTCTTTTACGAGATTTTTTTTTTCTTTTACGAGATTTTATAGTACAAACAACTCTTTCATCCATGCAGGCCGTCATTATGTACCATGTTAGTCGTTGTTTCGTGTCGTGAAGTTTAGTGTGCATGTGCAGAATGCCGCAGAAAAGCTTGCTAATCACTCGGATTGGTCCGAAAATATACACAGCATTTTGATAATAAAAAAAAAATTCACACCGCGTTTTGAAAATAAAATTATTTTTAGATATAGAACAATATAGGGTTATTATTGTGGATCTTTTTGGCGTTCTTTCATTCTTTCTTACTTTCTTTAATGATTATCTTTTTTTTTTTTTTTTTTTCCCGCCTTTTTTTTTTTTTTTTTTTTTTTTATTTTTTTTTTTCTTTTTTTTTTTTTTTTTTTTTTTTTTTTTTTTTTTTTTTTTTTTTTTTTGTTGTTTTTTTTTTTTTTTTTTTTTTTTTTTTTCTTTTTGTCTTTTTTTCTTTCTTTCTTACTTTCTTTTATGTTTTTCTTTTTTTTTTTTTTTATTTCCCGCCTTTCTCTTCTTTTTTTATTTAATCACTTCTCTCTCTCTCTCTCTCTTGCTTTGTTTCTTCTTTAGTTTCATTTATTCATTCTTTGTGTCGGTTATTTTCCCTTTCTCTTTTTATATTTCCTCTTTGGTCTATTTTTAATTAAATCATGAGAAAAACAATTAACATTATTCAAACTTTCTGAACAGATTTAAATCTGTAAGAGGAGATAAAACCAATACAATAAACTAACTACGAGCATTCTTTTTTTAAACCCTAGTTGCCTCCCTTCGCTTTCCAGCTTGTCCTAGGAAGGCGGCAATAGTTGATATTCCCCTAGAAATGTAATGTTAATATGAAACTATGATTGCTTCATATCATAAGTGCCACCATAACTCAGTATTGAAAATTTAACTAGATGCCTTAGGAATTTTCCCGTGGTAAAACTTTAGGAAACATGCCACACAACTCACCTGGGTTGTCTTTACAGCAGCGGGGGCCCTGGGGAAAGTAATGCACCCAAGTTACCTTGAGGCGTGAGGCCCCATAGACTCGTGAGGCTCCTTAAGTCATGAGGTCCCCTAGAGGCGTGAGGCCCCTTAAGTCATGAGGCCTCCTAGAGGCGTGAGGCCCCTTAAGTCATGAGGCCCCCTAGAGGCGTGAGGCCCCTTAAGTCATGAGGCCCCCTAGAGGCGTGAGGCCCCATAGACTCGTGAGGCTCCTTAAGTCATGAGGCCCCCTAGAGGCGTGAGGCCCCTTAAGTCATGAGGCCCCCTAGAGGCGTGAGGCCTCATAGACACATGAGGCCCCTGAAGTCATGAGGCCCCCTAGAGGCGCGAGGCCCTGGGTAAGTGCCCAGTGTGCCAATGCCTTAAGTCGACACTGACAACCACTGACCACAGTTGCAGCTTCTTATATAAAATAGCATGTCCTCACGAAAACAAGACAAAAGATGAAACAGAAATTGTACACATTTAATGACGCGAACCCATTTCAGTTGTGTTATGGTAGATTCTTTAATCATATGTACACTTGGTTCATTAATGGCAATCTTTGAGTTATATCATAACACTGATAAAACGTACAATTTGAGGGTCACACCATGAGGTAAGGCATCATAATAAATTTTTTTTTTCAATTTACCGTTTACAAACATAAGGGTTACTATACATCGTTCACACCACATTGAGGATGTTCTAAGGCAGGCCTACTCTGGTCGGTACACTTAGAATCTCGCTACTGTATGCACTGACGAAAATGCTACTTTTCTACAGTATAAAATCTAGGAGTCGTGGAAGTATTTTTGTTATGACATTAGAGATGGAGTTTTAAATCAGTTACACTAATTTAGATTACGCAGAATTATTAATCTTTCAAATTTAATCAATGTATTATTGTTCAACAAGAAAATGAAGTACGAAACTTAATTGACATATTACCTTCATTACCACAAATAACAACATAATTTGTAGGTAAGTTAATATTTTTTTAAACTATGAAATAAAAGTAATCTACTTAGATTCTGAGTCAAAATCATGAGCAAGTTCTTCAAATCTGACATCGAATCCTGGCATCGTGTTTTATTTTGAATTTCCCGTGACGGACTTCATCAAGGGAAAAAATTCATGTTAAAATAAAAAAAATTCAAAACTAAATTTATCTAACGCCGTCATAAAAAAAAAAAAAAAAAATAATTTAAAAAAAACAAAAAACGAAAAAAAAAAAATAAAATTACAAAATAATTGTTAAATAAAGGAAAAAAATACAAGTAAAAAAAAAAAAAAATCAAAACAAAATTAATCAAACGCCGAAAAAAAAAAAAAAAAAAAAAATAATTTAAAAAATGCGACAATCGAAGAAAATGAAATAAAATTTCAGAATAATTGTTAAACATTAAGTTGTTGCTGATTTTAATAATAAGATTGAAATCAATTTGCTTGATACTGATTTGTTAAAAATTACAGACAAACACACAATGAAAACTATTGTACAAAGTAGATTTCTTTCTTTCATGTGTTATTATAATGTATCCCAATATATAACAAACACACGGCCCATCAATCAGCCTAGGCACCAAATGTAACACACGGTCCATCAAATAGCCTAGGCACAAAATGTAACACACAGTCAGACACTTACCCTAGGCACCAATAAAATACAAAGTCAGTCACTTGGCCATAGCAGAAATTTAAAACAGTTAATTACTAAGCCTTGGCACCAAAATTTATATAATCAAAAAAAAAAGTTAACAAACACAATCCCATCATCACAATCACAAGCCTATCAGCACAAACACAATCCCATCATCACAAACACAATCCTATCAACACAAACACAATCCCATCATCACAATCACAATCCTATCAACACAAACACAATCCCATCATCACAATCACAATCCTATCAACACAAACACAATCCC